CAATGTTGCTACAATGGAGTTCATTTTCCTCAGCGGTGCCAGTCGACATATCCAGACACCTCTTTCTATCGCTTTGCAGCATCCATTTAGCCGGGGCTATATCGAAATCAATTCCACAGATCCATTTGCAGCACCCGTCATTGATTTCAGGACAGGCTCTAATCCTGTGGACTTGGATGTATATGTAGAGGCTCTGAAGTTTTGCCGGAGAGTTGTTGCGACCGAGGATATTCAGATCCTACAACCAACAGAATTGGAACCAGGTCCGTCGATTCAAACTGATGGTGAGCTGAGAACATATGTGGAGAAAACGTTGACCACAATGTTCCATCCTAGTGGGACAGCATCAATGATGAAAAGGGAATGGGGTGGCGTGGTTGATGATAGGTTGAAGGTGTATGGGACGACGAATTTGAGGATTGTTGATGCATCTATTCAACCACTGATTCCGGCAACGCATTTGCAAGCAACCATATACGCAGTTGCAGAGAAGGTAGGTTGTCAAATTGAAAATCGCGTTCAGGTTAGCTAACAGTGTTGCAGGCGGCGGATATCATCAAGGCCGACCAGTAGGCCTTGGCTCATCGAGGGAGTGACTTCAATAGCTTGGGTAAATGTCATCTGCTGCCTGGGTCTGTTGAGGAATACATAGCCATTACCAATATTGATATCTAGCTAGACCAAGATAACACGATGAGTTGCATGCAAGCTTACCGGAGAGGGAGAATTGGCAATGGATTGACAACAAATGAATCAGGTTAATTAGGAAGTTTTGAGCTTATGCTGAATACCCTTCAAAGTGCTGGTCCAATCTCGATATAGAATTTCGCTAGCCTGTGAAAGTAGTAGTGATCTACAGCTACGTAAGACATACAGAAATGAAACCGCCCTAACCCTGCACGATATGGTGTATTTCGCACATACTCAGTGTCAATTTTTTGGGGCAAAACTATTTATTTTATTTAGATATAAAATATTTCAGGTAACGTTCGTTTGTTTGATAGATATGATAATCACCCACTTCATCTAATGCCAGGCTACGATGTGGTCATTTTTGCCTAAAATGTGCACAATGGTGAAATGTTGGCTCAAGAAGCGTGCGACGTTCGCAAGGTTCCACACAGACGAACTCAAAACAAGTCGAAGGCCCAAATTCTAATCGCACAAGGCGAGGATATACGGCCTGTAACTTAGGGGTTCAGTACCGTGAACGGAAGCGCAAAGCTCCCTCGTTGGTAGAGGCTGCAGGAATATCAATTAGAAATATTCCCGCGTACAGCATGGTAAATCGATTTTCTTGCATATGTTGGATATCGGTTGGAAAAGGTTAAGCTCCGGATGATAATGAGATTGTCATGGGATTCGCTGACACTTGGTAATGGTTAATGCTCGCTGCAATGGGCTAATATAAGATGACTATTCCAGGTTTGAAGTTCTTTTCGATATCCTGGTCTGGTTTCATGTGCACATCTCATTTCCCAGCTGTTCTTCGTTTGGTTAGAGCGCCGTGATATAATAGTAAATGAGGCCTTTGTTATTGGTTCCTGGGGTAGTGTGCAACGAACCTCCTGACTGCTGGAAGGCTTCTCACCAATTGCAAGCAATTATTCGGATTTCCTTTATAACCATATTTCCTCCCCCTTGGCCGAGTCGGGCCTCGTGTTCGAGTTGCAGCTGCCAGTTTCCTGTATGTCTAAGTCATTATTGTAGCGCATAGTCGAGTTTAGTGGCCCAGTTGTCGGCCAGCCACGGCTACTGGCCCGGACCCTACTTATAACGTAAATTGATGAGTTCCAACCATGTCATAGATTGTTAGATTGATCGCTGTACGTACAACACACGCCGCTTAATAAATCTCACAGATGTCCTTCCATATGCACATTCCCTCCCTCCTTGCGGATGGGTAATAGCAATAGAACTACCGGCACCTAGAAGCTTCGAAGCCCCTCGGGTATTTAAATCTTTGCCCGAACCTGTGAAGTTGCGACTTCTTCCTTCTCCGTTCCGATCCTTACCCAGGAATCATATTGGAACTCGTTTGTTAGAGCCGGTTCCGGTATATTGCCTACCACACCTAACAAACATGGCCATTCTCACGAGCTCCATCCTCTCAGGAGTGAGTCCTACCGAACTCGCAGGTATCCTGATTATCCTTTGCGCCCTCAAGGTCACCTTCTCATTATACCAATACAACCCCAACCCATCCAAACTCCCGGTTGTGGGAATTCCGCCTGGACCTTTTGGTCGGATCCGAGCAATACCTGCCTCCTTAAGGCACTACAACAGCATAATCGCCGATGGATACCTCCGGTACCATAAACAAAAGAACCCAACTACATTCGTGGCCCCATGGGTATTGAGTCACTATATTCATGTTATTCCGCTGCAGTTGATCTCTGAGCATAAATCAGCTCCGGAACATGTGTTGTCACAAGCTGTTGCCTTTCAGGAAGACAATGGGGACCTGGCCATTGGCGGGAAAGAGGTGTTCAGTAATTTATATCATGTCCCGGTTATCAGGCAAAAGTTGACGGCAAGTTTGGCGAGAATGTTGGATCCGATGGTAGAGGAGCTTGAGATGTCTTTCAAGGAGGAGTGGGAGCAGCCTTGGGTGCAAAGAAAAAACGCTGAGGGGTGGGTAGAAATGCCGATATTCGAGGAGTCCATGAAGATTGTCTCGAGGACTACCAATAGGGTGTTTGGGGGAGCGGTAATATGTATAAGACACCTATGTTCGGCTAAGTGGAATGGATGCCAACTGAAACTGTATTATAGGTCGAGACAAGGCTTTCCTGAAGAATTCAATTGATTTTGCTGTTGGGGTTATCATAGCTGGCTTTGGCGTACAATTATTTCCACAAGAGATGCGTTGGTGAGTTTTTGTTCCCCTGTTTAAGGCCCCTGAGGTACTGATGGATTTAGGCTGGTTGAGCCATTACTATCATTTCGAAATCGTCGACGAATAGCCTTTGCCGCAAAGAAATTGACTCCTATTATTGAAGAGCGGAAAGCAATCATTGAGCGCAACTCAAAGGATGAAAGTAGTTCACCGGAAGAACCTGTGTGTAAAATTCCCTGCATCAATTCTTGTCCTTCGAGCTAATATCTCGTGCATAAATCTAGGACGATCTGCTTCAATATCTTTTACATGAGGCTATAGGCCAGGGGCCCCCACATGATTCTTCATACCAGGTGTCATGCCGCTACCTCCTTGTCAATTTTGCCGCAATCCACACCACATCTTTGACCTTTTCCAATAGTGTGGCGAACATGGCTGCGTACACTGACGAACTTACCGGTTGCGGTTACTGGGATCTACTTCGTGAAGAGGTAGAAGCTGTTGACCGCGAGAGCGAAGAGGGGCCTGGTGTTTGGACTAAACGAAAACTCAACAAGTTAGTGGGGTTGGACAGTTTCATTCGAGAGACCCTTCGAAAGAATTTCAGTGGACCAGTGGGCTTGGTGAGAAAGGTGATGCCCAAGGAAGGATATACTTATGCAAACGGACTTCATGTCAACCATGGCGAGCTCGTTGGTGTGCCAACACTCAGTGTGCATATTGATGATGATAACACTGGGAAGCAAGCGCTTGACTTCATTGGATTCCGATACTCTCGGCCTTATCAAGAACTCGCAGGCCAAGCAGCAACGGATATCTCAGCCACTGGAGGTATAGGAAAGCTCGCTGCTGTAACGACTGCGGATGAGTATTTACCCTTCGGGCATGGAAAACACGCATGGTCGGTGTTCCAGCCCCTGTGCACATAACCCCATTTCTAACTCATCCCTTTCACCTCTATCATTACTAACGTGATATCTTTGTGATGGCATAGCCCTGGACGATTCTTTGGTGTGATTGAGCTCAAGATGTCCCTCAAATTTTGCTTGTTGAATTATGAAATCCAGCCTACAAAAAGGGCTCAGACACAGTATCTGTGGGCAAACCCAACCCCTCCATTCAATATTGTTATCAAGATGAGGAAACGTAGAGTAGACTGAATAATGCCTAGAGTTTGAAGCACTATAGAATAAAATAATCAATAGCAGAGTTCGCGTGTGGGGGCATGATACATAAGAAACTCGGGCCAGAGTGGGTGTTGTGAAGTTGGTCGTGAAGTGGGGGCTCGTGCTGCTTGTGTATCTTATTAATAGTTCTGATAAATAACATTAGATACCTGCCGAGTACTTAACTACAGCTCAAGGCTAGACGAACATCAGCTCATGTTTATGTAGAAGAACTTGGGGCGACCTCTCTACTGTTAACCTTAAACATACCGGAATGCTCCGATGCGCGTTGATGGCCTCAATAATACACGTCAGGAATGCAACATGTATCGACGTCAGGCCGGGCCACAATTAGTCATACTAGTAGCCAAGTCGCTTGAGAGCCCGCCATTGCCCAATACAATACCTAAAGGCTAAAGCCAAGTCGTTGCCCGAGCTGTACTCACCCACACACTGCATACAGACTGTCATACTGTATCATGAGCTTGCAGGAGTTCATTAGCAAAAGGGCAGGACCTATACATGCTGAGTCTTCGAGTCCATCATCTGCAGCTGCCCTCATAGTACGGATAGTAGTGTTTAAATCTCATGAACACGAACTATTGTTAGAATGCGTAGTCGAGTGAATCAGATTTAAAACGTGCCATTTTAGAGTCTGCGAATTTGTAAGTTGAACTTTTGCCGTGAAAGAGCTCAGTAAACTTAACTGCTTAATTGGCAACAGGACTGCGAGCTGTGGCATTTATAGGTATATTATTTGAAAAGAATCATTGTAAATGAGACGAAAAGTTATGGGGATCCAACCCAATTCCGACACTGAGCTATATTTGATGTGCCAACTCTTACTCTTCTGTGACTTAAAAATTGAAAAATGAATTTCCCGGCGCAGTTGTTGATAAATGCGTGATTTAGGTTGGTATTGTACTGTACTTAAGGATGTTCATGCCTCAAAAAAAAAAAAGTGATTGCCCAAACTTTGCAAAACGTAAAGGAAATGGTCACGGTGAGACTCGAACTCACAACCCTCGCGTTATTACTATTAGCACGATGCTCTGCCGATTGAGCCACGCGACCTATTATTAGAAATAGGTTACCATGTTTCTTACTTATTGCATCGAAACCTTTTGCTGCAGGATGCCTGTTCCACTATCTTAAAGTTGGTTGCAATTAATTAAAAATGTGTAACTTGGTGATTTAGATTAAGGTTGGTGGTACGATGCGAGATCTCAATCGGTAGTGTATAGTGCGATCGAATTTATACATGTAGGTGTGCATGGGCTTATTGGTATATAGATGATGGATGATATTTACAAAAAAACAAAGACACAAGAATCAGAATGATTACCGAGGGGCTTGTGCAAGCCAGAATACAGAATGATACGAGGACAGCTTCACTTATCCTTATCTATTGGAATTCGGACAAATAGACCACTTGTTTCGGATGTCGTAACTTTTTGTGCTTCTTAACATACTGTGCATATCCCAAAACCTTCAAAAAGATTCGACCTTATAAATCTTAATGACACTCGTAGCAGGCATATATTGCCTTGTGAACAGGATTCTCCCCAATAAGTCTATTTACCCATGGATCCGTTTGGCCCCAGTGATTAGAAATCGAACTTATGGACATCTCCACCTAAGAACCGCCATATGCCTTGTGATACAGTACTTCCGGATAATCAATATTAGCTTCTATATCTTTTCTTGGAAGGAAAAACGCATCAATCATATGAGGTCCCTCAGGGGGACTTTGGATAAATTCCATATGGCCTCGCAAAATAGCACATTACAAAAAAGAAAAAAATTCTAAGTGTGAACAGTCCCATCACGCCAGTGAGAAATAAAGTCTATCTTCCCGGCCTCGAGTAGATGTGGGTAAGATCTTCAGCTTCCAGACTGTATTCGGTGCCGTAGATATGGAGAATGCTAGTCTGGTTGGCACAACGACCCTTTTCAGAGAATGCATACGGATAGATATTACTAGATCAGGAATAGCGCGTATCTATAAAGTTCGTTGTATACCTCTCCAATCTTCAATGGATCATCATATACCTCAAAGTACTTTGCTACTTTGTTATATACATCGTACCTGGTTTTTACTGTGTACACAACTGTCATGGACAATGCCTGGTGCGGATATCGCTTTGTATGAAAGCGAAGAAAAGAGGAGCTCAGAGACGGGGGAAAGGGTTTACATTAATGCCTGTCACCCGAGGCCTAAGTAAGTTATCCTTATTGCGGGCAGCAAGGGCTTTTTCATTATTGTCCGCAGCTGCTCTGCTCTGGTTGTTGAGTTCCGGCCTTTCGAACCAGAGTAGACCTTTCGCTGACTGGTACCTACCAAACCTGGCAGTGTCAGCAATCGTCGGAAGAGGATCTTGGTGCAGGGGAACGGAAATTACTGAAATATATTTAATCAATAATTAAGTGCATAGTCTGGTTGGCACTAAGGTGCACCTGCCGAAATTACACATATTGGTAGCACCAAATGATAATTGCGATTTTGCATAATTTGTATTATAGTTTCTTCCACTGCAGCTGTCAGGAACACAAGGCTACTTGGTACTGTGAAGAGGGTCAGGCTTTGAAGACAACTGAGGGGTAGGGAAAACATATAAGGGGGTGGAGATTCGACTGATACGTTTCAGTTGGGTACACTCCTACCATTGGTATCAGCATTGACCGAGCACGGCTGTCGGACATCTCTCAAGCTCCTTAAAAGTTAGCATCTCTGGACAGCCTCGTATGCACACGAAACTCGTGAGCTTGAAAGTTGTGACTGTACATGCACTGATGCTAACATTAATATATGGTCTACTTCTAGAACAAGAGGAATTTTGTGAATATGGCAGAAACTCAAGAGCAAACCGGAAAGGATTGGAAGTCCATTTCCCTAGCACGACAGGATGAAATCAGGAATGCCATCCCCAAATCCCACCGCCTCTCCCCAACAGTCATTGAGGGTCTTCAGGACTCCAGAAACTTGATCAGTATACCAGAGACATGTGGCATCCTTTCCCCAAGGGAACTAGAGATCACCTCCACCCCCAGCACCACCAAGTTGCTTGTAGATATAAGAAACCGGGTTTATACTGCCGTTGAGGTTACGATGGCGTTCTGCAAAAGGGCATCCATTGCTCACCAATTGGTATAATGACAATCTATGTCCACTTAGTAGGCGGTCTGAGGTTTCTTGTTTGATTATGCTGACCATTTCAGACCAATTGCCTCACTGAAATTCTCTACGACTCTGCTTTGGCCCAGGCCCAGGAGTTGGATAAACACCTTCTTGCAACCGGAGAACCTGTTGGGCTCCTCCATGGCCTCCCTATTTCAGTGAAAGATCAAATCTCTATAGCCGGGACAAGGGCCACAAGTGGCTTGGTATCCATGGTCGACCACATCGACGAAAAGGATGCTTATATCATCGAGATCTTGCGCAAGGCTGGTGCCGTGTTCTATGTGAAAACTACTAATCCACTTTGCATGTTAGTAAGTGATCATTAGTCGTTGTAAATATACTATCCATCTGCTAATGTGTTCTCCACCAGGCCATGGAAACTCACAGTAACCTTTTCGGTAGAACTGTCAGCCCGTACAACATCAATCTAAGTCCTGGTGGTAGCTCTGGTGGAGAGGGAGCATTAATTTCGTTACGTGGCAGTTTGCTAGGGGTTGGTACTGGTACTGACATTGGTGGATCGCTCCGAGCACCGGCTGCCTTCTCTAATATCTACACTCTAAAGGCAAGCGCTGGGAGAATCCCAGTAGCTGGTATGGAGTGGTGGCTTCACCCTGGTATGGAGACCGTTCAGTGTATCATTGGTCCAATGGCAATAGGGGTTGACGGTCTGGAACTATTTTATGAGGTAAAAGAGTGCTCTCCTGCAAGCCGCATTCCGTAAGTTGACAGGATTAAATCCAGGCCGCACTTGCCAATAGCCCCTGGCTCGTAGAGCCATTGTTGGTTAACAAGCCCTGGGACAAAAGGGTTATCGTAAACGGCACTATTCTCAAGCCTTTGAGAATTGGCCTGATGTTGAGTGACGGCGTAGTGACCCCTCATCCCCCAATCCTACGTTCACTCAAAGAGACGGCTAGAGTGTTGGAGGAGGCTGGCCATATTGTCATCCCTTGGGTGCCTGTTGATCATAAGGGCATGTCAGAACTAACTGCAGCAACCTTCTTTCAAGACAATGCAGAATTCGCCAGACACCTGGTCAAAAAAAGTGGAGAAGAACTTACACCACTTGCAAAATTTGCTTTCGACGGATTGCAGTCTAAACCTCTCACGGTGACGGAATCCTGGGATGTCAGTGATCTTATTTTCCACTATTATGGTTTTGAAAGCCGTGGACTTACCAATAATCAATAGTTGACGAACCGGAGGAATCAATATCGCCTATCTTATGCCAAACTTTGGAACGAAAGTCAAATCGATGCAATTATATGCCCTGCTGCGCCAACCGCTTCACCACTCCATGATACTAGTAAAAGCTGGGGATATACGTCAGTTTTCAATTTGCTCGACTACAGCACTGCTGTCTTCCCCGCTGGAAAGGTTCTTGATATTGATGGAGCAGCTGCTTTACCAGAGGGGGTAGATCTCCATGCTACGTACCCCAAGAACAGCGTCGAAGAGTTGAACCAGGTCTACAGCAAGCTATGGTTTGACAAAGATCAGAATGGAAAGGTGTTGGGCCCTGAAAGGTATAAGTATGCTCCAATCGGGTTGCAGCTGGTCGCAAGGAGATACGAAGAAGAAAAAGTGTTGGGGATATTGAGAACCGTTGTGGGGGCAAGAAAAAACGGGGGCCTAAAGCCATATTAATTATGACTGGTGTGAAGGCCTGCATGCTGAATATTCCCGCGACGGCCTCTAAGATGTGAGGCATATAGTTATTATGCTGGTTACGAAGATGTGCTAGGGTTATTTAAAATCAACGTAATTGAGGGCTGTCTTGATCACGAGCGTCTGATATAATCTGATATATGATTTGAGCTTTGAATACTCTCGTGAGCTCTCAATGCAGATATTTGGCTTCCTATAGACTAAGGTTGGCCAATATGCTTGCAAAGCCAAAGCTACAGTGGCCTCTGAATGATTTACTACTAATAATCAGGTTTCAATTGTCAATCTCCTCATAATCTGGGCCGCGACAGCCTTTGATCTAACAATATCCCCTAGGGTTAGAACTAGGGTTTGGGATGTTCGGGTTAAGTAGGGCTCTAGTCCCTACTGTGGAATCTCAAATGACTTTTAGCAATTCTAAGCAGCTTGGCTACTACAGATAAGAGCAGGATTGGTTTAGCTGTGATTGAATAGCTGAGGAGTGTAAAAATGAGTATTGGTTTAATCCAAACTTATTCCTCTCCCTAAACCCCCTTATCAGAAGCTTAAGCATTGTTACAGCGCTTTATTTTGTTACCCTCAAGGCTGCTAGACTAGCTTAGGAAGAGTTAGACACTTGAGTAACCTTGGCTAAAATGCGCACTAACTAGATTCTAGACTAGAGAATGATAGAAGCCACGGTTAATGCAATACTTAAGCGTCAACTGAAAACCACTCAAATAAGAAAACAGCGCTAGAATGACAAAGGAGTAGTTGAGGATATTGCTCGCAGCTGGCAACAATTTGATTTGGAGAAACATTTTCTTCATTTACCAGGTTTGAGAGTCATTCAAGCACTAGATATCAGTTACCCTGAAGTTGGCTCTTTTTTGAGCCACAGGGGATATATATGGGTTTGGTTGGATGTGAATGTCTAATGTACTATGCTTGGTTCACAACAATAGGTGCATACTGGAGAGCAAAATTGTTTGATAAAAGTAACGTTGGTATATGTAGGCTGGGGATATAACTGCCGAGACTGGGTATGGGCACTCTCTGAAGTCTATAGATCTAGTACTTTAACCCACTTAGCGCCAGGTTTGTTTATACATATTTAGGATGCTCACTACTACTCTTCACTGAATACCCAAGTACCGTCCCGCCGTTGCAACCTTATCATTATAATTTATCCTTGCAAAAATGACAGTGTACTACCTACTATAACTACTTCTCGGTACCGCGA